TCCCACTCCGATTTATTACACCCTGTGCTTCTCTCTGCAGGCTCTTCTGCGATGTTTTACCTGGCTGCGGCCGTGTCAGATTTCTATGTTCCTGTCTCAGAAATGCCTGAACACAAGATCCAGTCATCTAGGGGCCCACTGCAGGTGATGGGCGCTTCTCTTCCAGAGATCTGATCCCCTATAATCAATCTTGGGTTAATTCCCTCTTGATCTGGAGATGGCCTTTCTGCATTCCGTATGGGATAGGCACTAGGGATACAGAGATGAATAAGACACCGCCCTCCCTCAAGAACCTCACAATCTAGTGAGGGAGCTGGACACAGACATAATTACAGTACAGAGTGATAAATGCTCTAGTAGAGGTACGTACAAAGTGAAGTCAGAGCATGGGGTGAGTGAATCTTGGGGAAGTCAAGGAAGGCTTCCTGGAGGAGATGACATAAATTGGGTTTTAAAAGATGAACAGAGAGTATAGCAGACAAAGTAGGGAAGGTACAGATAGAGTACAAATTGGAGTTTGGAAATGAGCCGTGTGATGTGAACTGAAGTTGTTTGGTAAGGTTGGAGAGCAGGGAGAGTGGGGCGCAAGGTGGGCGGGCAGACCGAAGAGAGCTTATTTCATAGAAGATTTTGTATTCCTTCTTAAGGAGCTTGGACTTTATCCTGTGGAGCTAAGGCAAACAAGTAGGAGAATGAGAGAAAGTTTTTGTTTGAAAAGACCGTTCCGGCATCAGTATGAAAGGTGAATTAGAGAGAGTAGCAGGTGTAGGTTAGATGACGAAGATTGCTGTAGTTTAAGGAAAGGGTATGGGGTGGCTAGTGGTTGAGATGTTGAGGTGATCTGGCATCCTGGAACCCGAGAGAATTCTTAATCATTTATGATTCAAGAAGAATTTAAATAGGAGAAACTACCTGTGGGACACTTGCTGACTTTGTAGGATACTTCATTTGTTCATTTTTTCAATAAATATTTATTGAGTACTTACTATATGCCAAGTACTGTAGTAGGACCTGGAGATAAAGCAGTGCAAAGAAACATACTGTGCCCTTGTGTTGCTTACACTCTTCAGAGACCATAAATAAGTCATATGCATACTATGTTAGGTAGTGAAAAATGCTAAGCAGAAAAATTAAGTGGGGAATGGGAATATAATCCCTATCACACTTGCTAACTTTCTGAAATCCTGATAATTATCATAGTAATTTCACACTTTTAAAATTCTGGGAGCTTTAGTTTATCCTCTATTTTTTAGTTCTTTCTTGGAAGTACACAAACCAACTCAACATTCTTAGAAGGGATCAAGAATGGTATAGTAAGAGTTTTGATCAAGTGAAAATAAAGAAAATCAGTTTATTTTCTTCAGTGCTAAGATGTGTAATGAGTGACAGTTTTTAAACAGAATCAAATAGCCATTCTACTGGTGCAAGGAATATTTTAGGCTAAGAGATTTAAAAACCCAACGTTAATTAAACTTCTGCCAAAGTTACATTTGTGTTACAGATTTGCGTGAATAGATTTGTTTATTTGAGTGTTTGGTTTAAAATAAGGGGAATGTTTAAGAAAGTATAATGCTGTTTTTCAGAGCTCTGTTAATGGTGATGAGGGCGGTAGGGCAAGGTTAACTCATAAGACATGGTTTGTCTCAGAATTTGTATGACGCCTTGGAATTAGGAATCCTTATGAACCCTACAGAGCCAAGGCTCTTAAACTAAGCTTTTAAAATGCTCTGAAAAGTTTGACAGTGAGAAATCCCACTCAAATTGACATAGCCAAAAATCTGACTCCCTGCTTCCTTAGTTTCCCATGAGACTGACCTGGTAGTTATTGACCTTTGTTTGCTTATTAAGCTTTTCTTTTTCCAATACAGATAACAATGAAGATGGTGCCAAAAATGCTTTCTCCTTTGGTTAAAGACTGGGCTCCCAAAGCATTTATAATTTCCTTTAAGTTGGAGACTGACCCTTCCATCGTAATTGATCGTGCACGGAATGCTTTGGAAGTTTATCGACATCAAGTGGTGGTGGCCAATAGCCTTGAGTCACGACGGTCCTCTGTGGTTATTTTAACAAAAGACTCAGAAACCAAGATATTGCTGTCAGAGGAAGAAGTAGAAAAAGGCATAGATATAGAAGAGAAGATAGTGGGTGATCTTCAGTCTCGACACACAGCTTTTATACATGACAACTGAAGTAAAAAAGCCTTTGTAGGATCAAAAATTGTTCAGTGGATCAGGGCTCTTAAGCCGCCGTTGGTGGTATAGTGGTGAGCATAGCTGCCTTCCAGGGCTCTTATCACTGGTAAAAACAAATCCTTTGCTTTCATAAAGACAAAAAATGAAGGGAAAAAACAGTGAGTGGTATGCAGGTGAATATAGTTTGGTATTTGTCTTTTAAAGATCATTTCATACTCAATAAAAATGAAAACAAAAGCAAAGCACTTATGACCAAGCCACCTGACACACTCATCTGATTATCACCTGGATTTTGAAAATGAACATGAGCTGTTCCTCACCTTTAAAAAAAAAGAGCTTATTGGGAATTATATTCCTCAGCATATACATGTGAGGCCTGAATATCAACCTTCATAATATGAGAAGGATTATGGATGCATGAATGGCCATGCCTTAAAGATCAAATATTTCTTGATGCCTACTATGTGGTAGGCCCTGAGGATTATGAGGATTAAAAAGATGAATAAATATGTCTCTGGGATATGGATGTATGAAAAATAAAGTGCAATAAAGTGTGTGCCCAAAAGCCAACATGATGGAAATGATGTTTTTTGGAAATTTATCCAAGGTGGGAGTACAAGAGAAGGACACCTAAGATAGATAGCCTGTAGAATGATGAGCTTCCCACTACATTTACTTTTTGCTCCTTTTCCTAGGTTGACTCTCTATTTGAGTTAACAGTTTACCTTTCAAATATTTTAGAACTGTTCTTAAGGGAAATTTGATTTCTACCTGGGGCCAGGAAGGGGCCTATTAGTGATTTCTACCCTGAGGGAAGCTTTACTATGTGGTAAGGAGTAGGGGCTTTGGAGCCATCTCAGCCAAGTTTGACTCTTCGAGCTGTGTCACCTGTTACCTTTGTAAGCTTAGACCCTTGACTTAATCTCAAGTTCCTCATTTATAAAATAGAGATAATAAATCTCTCTGCTGAATAATGCCCTTTGTTGTGAGGAGTAAGTAAAACAGTGAAGATAAAGCATTAGTCATCTGGTGTCTGGCATGTAGATATTATACTGTCCTGGGCTTGGGATGGGAGTGTACAAGAAATGTGGTTCGGAAAAATCCCCTAAATGATCTGTAGGTTGGTCCAGAGTGCATGTTGAGAAACTACCGTTAATAAGTAGGTAGAAGCAGGAAATATACTTTACATACTTGATTTAAAATGCAACTAGTGATAATCATGGAGTCGGGAAGGGTAGCCCAATGTGTCTGATGACAGTGATACAATAAATGTTAGTTGAAAAGATTTGAGCAGAGGTGCAAAGATGCATTGAAATATGTCATTTAATCAAGAAATGTGACTTTCAAGCAGAGGAAAAATAACTGCAGCCATCAGGACTGTTCTGGACGCAGCAGTCCCATTGAACAAAAATTTTAAATTAACTTAAGGTCCGATTAGCAAAATCTCAAAGACAACAGGCTCTGTCAGCAGTGGCTGCAGTACTGAAGGGATAGGAAGCAAAAGATTGATTTTCTTCCCTACATCTATAGCTTCATGTGGATGATGACTGTCATTATGATGTTTGAACGTCCAACGAGGGTAAATGGAGTGAAAACTAGAAGTGATCTTAATGTTTGTTTCTACCATAACTATTACTTCCCTTGGGAACCATTTCTTATCCTGGTTTGTTAGGCTTAAACAAACACCACTTTCCTACATGGAATTATTTGAAGTGTTTTCCAATTCAGTTTAATTTCCATTTGGAGCACTTAAACAGTATTTACACATGTTAAAATTCCAAGAGGTTTTTTTTTGTTTGTTTTTTGGGTTTTTTTATTTTTTGTTTTTTTTGACAGCAAATAGTGTGCAAAGAAAGAAATAATGAAAAGGAACGCGAGTCAATGAGAGCAAATGAGAAAGCCCTTGATCTAGATTGGAGGACCAAGAATTGTTTCCCTGAGGAAGTGACAAGTGATAAGTAGGAGTTAAGTGGACTGGAAGTGATGGCACTGCGCATTTTAGATAAGAGAAAATACATTTGTAAGGGGGAAATGGTTGAAGTACTTCCATAAAGTAAGGGATGCGATCTATCCAGATAACTGGCAAAGCTTTGGAAAGGATCCTATGTGGAACTAGAATAAGACTGAAATGTGGGTACCTATTTGGGATATCAGCAAAGCAAGGGCCCCCAAAACATGGGTCAAATCAAGCTTTGATGAACTAACTAGAATCTTGCAATAAGAGCATTTAAATGAACATGATATAAACCAAGCCTCTCTTAAGTTGTCGTTTAGACATTTTTATTTTGCACGACATAAGTGGAGGAACGGTTCACGTAAACTGAATTTTCTAGGACTTCTAAAGGGCTTCTGTCTTAGGGACGATTCTAGTCAAGTCCGATTTCTTCATTTTTACAATAATAAAGCCAGGTCCGAAAAATGTGATTTGTCTTAGGCGCCCCAGGTAGTGACAGATCTAGGCTTAAAATTCACAACTCCTGACCCTCTCCCTTTTAAGAATGAAGTTACTTCCAGAAAAATAAAACCAAGATTATTAGGCCGGCGGGAAGCTATTTGAGAATTATAAATGCCCGCTAACAAAAATGCAGCCTCAAAGTAGAAAAAGCTCACCTATGTTGTTACCATGGTTACTGCAAAGCCAATGGAATGAGCCGTACTTTCGTTTTGCCAAAAAACCCCGCCCCACGGCCCGAAGGCCAATGGTGTGCGCTGTCTCCACAGGAAGAGCAGCCCCTGAGCCAATGGTGCGCGTCGTTTCTATGGTTTCCGCCGGAAGGACGCCTCGGCGTCTCTGTGGTGAGCGCTGTTGCTATGACGCCCGGGCCTGGGTAGGCACCTGCCTCTGGCCGCTGAGCAGCGGTGGAGCCGAGTGAGCCGGGACCCTCACGGCACTCTCCGAAAGACAGTTTCCGGCCTGGTTCCCGCGGTTCCGCCTCAGCCCCAAGGAAGAAAGCGCCTTTTCTGCGTTCCTTTTCAGCATTCCAGGTCTTTCCCGCTTCTCTCACCCGTGTGGCCCGAAACCGGAGGAGAGCCTCTCCTGGCTCTGCCTTTGTTGTGACGGGCTGGAGTGATTCTGCCTGAAGAAGGATTCGCCCGTCCCCAGGAACCCAACCGCCACAGGCCTTTAGAATTAGGCTGTCTGTCTTATTTAGAGAGGGCTTGGAACCCGTCAGTTAGTTAAGTGGGCTCTCCTTTTCCCACTGCCCAAGCGAAGACTCAGCCCTGCACAGACCACTGCGCCTGACGGGCCTGGCCCGAGTCCTCCGAGCCACGGCTTCCCCAGGTCGTAGGCTTGTGAACAAAGAACTGCCGTTTTCTGCTTGTTCGTCCTATGTTCATCATGCAGAATCTTAATTGCCGATGAAGCTCTGCAGAGGCCTTTGGTATCTTCAGCATCCGACGTCATCAAGTCAGTTACCTTCTGCCTTTCGAGCTACAATCTCATCCGCTTCTCTCATCACCCTGAGCGCCACTTTTCTCATCCTGCTCATTCCACAGCCATTTTCACCCTTTCTCGTCCATGCTGCGCATCACTGAATGTTCATTCGTCTCCACCACCTCTGCCATCTATAGACCACCTCCCTCTGTTTTCCTGCTACAATGCTTTGGGTAGCTAAGTATTCCACATTCTCCAGCTCTGGAATCATTTGGAAGATTTTCTTTGTTTCTCTGCACTATGGCAAGCTTCCTGTCTTGGGTAAACTAACTAGCATGGAGAAGCGCACGTTGGTAAAAACAAACAGTAAATTTCTGCAAGCTTAGTGTGTTTTGAAAACGGAGGGGGAAAAATAAAAATGCATTTTTAGGCCTGTCCCAGGCTTATATAAAAAAAGAAGATTGTGCCTTGCTCAAGTGAATACTATGTTAGATTTACATGATGTATTCTTGCGTATGAAAAGATCATTCAGAATGATCATGTAACCGGATTTCAACTTTAAGCCCGTATGAACACAGTGCCTTGATACCATCGAATTTCCTGGAGAGGAGATGCTTAAAATAGGTCTTGTGCCTTCTATTCATGTCAATTTCCTTTTTTTTTTTAAAGATTTATTCATTTTAGAGAACACGTGTTCATGGGGGAGGGGCAAAGGGAGTGGGGGAGAGAGAATCCTCAAGCAGATACCCACTGAGAGGGGGTTTTCGGGGGTGGGCTCCGCCAGGACCCTGAGATCAAGACCTGAGGGGAAATCAAGAGTGAGCTGCCCAACCGACTGAACCACCCAGGTGCCCCTTCATGTCAGTTTCTTAATCAGAAGACATTCTTTGTGATGTGAGCCAAGAAACAGAAACAATGAGGAGGAGTGATTGAAAATAAACATTTTTGGCAAGGGAGAAGTCTTAATAGTCCTAAAAAGACTGGAACATAGAACCTTAAAAAATAGAATGAGATTCATTTAGAGCCAGTGCAATTTTCTTTTAGTTGAAAAACTTTAATATGTCTTAAAGTATGTGTTCCTGGTTAAGTCTTACTATTTCTTTTTCAGTATTCAGGTTTAAATGTAAACTTATTTTGAAGATACGCACTTTTAGCGGGTATTTTGGGGGCTAGAATGATTTGGATATTTTTATTTTCTCAGACCAATTACAGCACTTATCTGTGATATCTCATATTACAGCCAGGTCAGTTTTCCAAATGCTGAGAAATTCAGCTTTCTCTTCTGTAATAGATTGGAAAAGAAAAAGAAGTTCTGGGGGCACCTGGGTGGCTCAGTCGGTTGGGCGTCTGACTCTTGATTTCAGCTGAGGTCATGCTCTCAGGGTCTTAAGATCAAGCTCTGCGATCAGTGTGGAGCCGGCTTGAGATTCTCTCTCTCCCTCTCCCTCTACCCCTCCCCTTGCTTGCACTCTAAATAAGTAAATAAATAAATAAATAAATAAATACAATGTTTAAAAAAGAAAAGAAAAAGTTGTGAAACTTTTTCAATTTTTCACATTTAATGGATAAATTCTAACTTTTGAAAAGCAGAGTATTAGATGCTGTATTTTAAGGGTCTTACCTTTCCCCTTCCAATATGTATTTACTGAACAAACATCATTAGGGCAACATTGAAAAGTAACTCTTTAAAAACTTTCCTCTCACCCTAGGACAGTGGCTCTAAACCCAGGGGTGATCTTGCTTCCCATGAGACATTTGGCAAAGGATGGAGATATTTTCAGTTGTCACAGCTGGGGATATGTTACTGGCATCTAGTTGGCAGAGGCCAGGGATGCTGCTATACATCCTGCTATGCACAGAACATCCCCCCACAACAAAGAATTATCCAGCCCAAATGTCAATGATGCTGAGGTTAAGAAACCCTGTCCCAACATATCAAGTTCATTTTTCTGTTCTGGGTCAACCCTTGCCCATGAGTGTACATTTTTACGTAGCTGTAATGATAGTGTGCATTTTGCCTTTCTTTTAATTTTATATTTTAAGCATTTAAACATTGCTACGTTGTTTTCAATTTTTTGAAAAGTATTTTTCTCCTCATTTTACTTGGGAATTGAGAAGGAAAAAACTGTGTTTAATATGTATTATATTTAAGATGCCTATGATTTTTTTTTTTAAAAGATTTTATTTATTTATTTGACAGAGACAGAGACAGCGAGAGCAGGAACACAAGCAGGGGGAGTGGGAGAGGGAGAAGCAGGCTTCCTGCTGAGCCGGGAGCCCAATGTGGGACTCGATCCCAGGACCCTGGGATCATGACCTGAGCCGAAGGCAGTCGCTCAACCAACTGAGCCACCAGGCGCCCGATGCCTATGATTTTTAAATTATATTTGTGTAGAAGGGAGAAAGAAGGGTTAGGGTGAATAGCCTATCTGGGTATATCAGTTTTTGTGGCCATGCTATTTACTTTTGTTCCCTAATGTCACTCTGAGACCATAAGATCCAAAACTCATCCCTTGCTTAGAGCCAAAAGATGTGCTGTAACATGAGGTATGGTCCTGGCCCCTCACTGTAGTTCGAGGGAACCTGTAGGGGAAATAAGAACAAGAAGCAATGACTCTGCACCCATTCTCCTTGCTCTCTTTCCATTTAAAATTCTTTGTCTCTGTCTCAGTTTGCTTTGACAGTTTTACCAACTCATTCTTTACATCTGGAAGTTTGGGGAGGAGGGCAAAAACTTTTTAAGATAGTTAATGAGCATTTATTCAGTATCTACTTTATAGAGAATAGTTTGTGTGTATACTTTGTTATGTGGGTAATTTTAGGTGCAGTTTAGATGTTAGAGCATTTATAATTCAAATAATGGATTTTTAAAAAAGATTTTATTTATTTGAGAGAGAGAGAGAGCACGAGTCAGGGGGAGGGGCAGAGGGAGAGAGAGAAGCAGACTCCCTGCTCAGCAGGGAGCCTGAAATGGGCTCCATCCCAGGACCCTGATATCATGTCCTGAGCCGAAGGCAGATGCTAAATAATGGATTTATATTACCTCAAGATCTGCTTTTTTAGAATTTTCAAATTACTTAACCATTGAGTCTCAGTGAACCAACACCCTGGAAAAATGTGTGTTCTGGGGTGTCATAGCAGAACAGGCAGAGTGACCCAAATGTTCAAAGTCATGGAAATATAAGCAGCATGATGGGGATCGGTAAGTATACTAATGTCAAGGTGTGGCAGAAGATAAGGCTAGAAAGACAGACAGGAACTAGGTTGTGAAGAATCTCTGATGCCAAGCTAAGGGATTTGAACTCTTCCTGAAAGCAGTGGGAATGAAGAGCAGCAAGTGATTTGCATTCAGAACAGTCAGTCTGAGGGCTTTGAATGGGGGACAGCCTGGAAGCAGGGATATCAGTTAAGGATGCAATTACACTAAACTGGACAGTAAGTGAGGAGAGCCTAAATTAAGGCAGCACCCTTAGATAAGAAGTAGAATCTACATATTCAGGGACTGGTCATTAATGAGAGTGGGATGAATAAGAAGGCAGGGTCATGGATGACTCCCAGATTTCTGGCTTGGGAAACTGTATTGATGGTGATTTTATTAACTGTACAATACAGAAGGAGGAGCAGGTGGAAGGGAAAGATGCGTGGATTTAAGCCGAGTTGTTCATTAGACAATTTGATATGCATTGCTCTTAAACAGTAGACTCATTTTATATTGTCTTCTTACCTACACATCCTCTTCTCTGGAATTTGTACCTCTCTACCAATCCTTACTTAAAGAGTAGGCTTTAGTGGCCATGTTTGTATGTCATATTTGCTTCTAACCCATTCCAGTGACAAGAGACTGAATGAGGATTATACAACTAACTTTGGAGAGGGGGACATGGATCATTGAATGAGCAAAAAATAATCATCTCTCTTTCATGAATTTGAATTAAAAGGTAAAGAACAGAAATGACTTAATCTGAAAAGTTAGTTAGGCTTAACACATGAATGGCTGTTTCTAGCCTGGCTGATGAGCAAGCAGAGAAAATCTATCCATGTGGAAAAGCAAGTAAATGGGCAGATTCATGTGGAAACTCAGAGACGAAAGACCTCATGGGTCAGGATAGACTAGTCCAGTCTGGTCCAGGATGGGCTGTCCAGTTCCATATCCAGTTCCTATGTAGTCATATTTATTTTCCAGTATATGCACATGTATCTTATTCTTTAAGTAACCCTTCTGTAATAGTTGGGATTGGTTGGCCATGGGGGTCAGAAAGCTCAAAGTAAAAATGGCTTGAAAAAGATAGAAATTTATTTCTCCCAAATAAGAGTGAAGAAGAAAGCAGTCCAGAACTGATAGGGCAGCATCTTGAAATTGTCGGAGATTCACAGACTTCTTCTCCCATGATAGTATATTATCTATGGCAGGTGGCTTCTACCCCATGGTGTCCAGGATGGCTGCTCAAGCTTCAACTATCTTGTGTGTATTGCAGCCAGTAGAATGGAGGAAGGAGTGAGGAAGAGCGATCCCATTCCTTTCAGGGCACTTCCTAGAGGTGGCACACAATTCCGTTTACATCCCATTGGTCAGAACTTGGCTGTATCTAGCAGTAAGGCAGGCAGCCGTATGATCATTCAAGAAGTCAGTTATCTTATGCTGCGGGAAAAGGGAAGAATAAATATTGGGGGACAACTGGCAGTCTTTGCCACACGTACTTGTGTTTGTTCTAACTTCAGCGTGTTTCTGTTTCTTCCCATTTTTTTCTAGATAGAGCTGGAGCTTAGCAAAGATAGATTATTATTCAACCCTAACAACCCCATGAGGTAGCATTATTATTAATCCATTTTATTTGGGGGTAAGTAAAAGTTTGAAGAAGATAGGTGACTTGCTTAATCACAAAGCTAGAAATTGGTGGAGCCAGGGTTTGAACCAAGGTATGTCAGACTCCTATATCCACGCTGTTAATCACCATGAAAGTGAGAAAGGCAGAGAGCCAAAGGCAGGATTCTTAGGAATGTCAGCATCTCGAGGGGCTATGGAAGAAGAGGAGTTCAGGGAGAACACAGAGAAGGAAAGGCCAGGGAGGTAAGAGTAAACACAGGAGAAAGTGATGTGACAGGACAGAGAAAGGAAACACTTTCAAGATAGGGGTGCAGAGAGATCATATATAAAAATTATAGAAACATGTCCAGTTTGATTGGCATTTTGAGGGTTATTGGTAAGTGATATTTTGAGTATAGTGGTAAGAACAGAAGCCAAAATGCAGATGTTTGAGGAGGGGAAGACAAATTAGAAGAAGGACAGTACCTTCAGAGGAATGTGTGGGGTCAAAGGAGAGTTATTTTTGTATCTTTATTTTTAAGACCAGAAACATCTTGAATGAAGGGCAAGAGATCAGTAGAGAGGCAGATAATGAGTATACAGAAAAGAAAAAGCTTCCTTGAAGAAGCAATATGGGATGGGATCTAGAACACAGGTGAAAAGACTTGCTTTCATCAGGAAGATGGAAGTCTCCACTGAGCGGAGAAAGAGAACAAGTTCTCTAAAGATGAAGGCTAGTATCTGGGTGTAGGGGAAGAAGCTAACAGAGTTTTATAATGACTTTAATTTTATTAGTGCTGTGGAAGACAAGATCATCTGCCAAAAGAGGGGAGAGGTAAGATTTGGAGTTTGATGGGAGAGCTGGAAGTTCTGGATAGTTGCCGAGTGAAATTGTAGCAGAATCTGGTAAAGAATGCGTAGATTGATCTAGCAGGAGAGAAGCTTGGCTCAGGCTGCAGACCATGAATCTGTAGTGGCCCCAGTCTGCTTGCTTGTTTTATTTTTCTCTATGAGCACTCAGCAAACTAAAATCAATATAGGATAGTCAAATGGTCAAACTTTTCCAGGGCTGGGATTTTCAGGGAAGGTGGGACAAGGAGCAAGATAACTGGGGACATTGATGAGAGATTGCAGTGATCAGCTACTGGGTCCAGGCTTGAGGGGAAAAACCAAAAGTATCTGCTGGTTTGAAAGATGTAATGGTCCAGGGACTGAGGTCTCACTGTCATTGTAGAATAAGTACAGTTTAAGAGAGCAATCACTTCACCCCCATCAGTATGGCTTTGTTATATATATAAAACAAATATAACAAGTGTTGGCAAAGACGTGAAGAAATTGGAACCCTTCTGGGTAGTATGGTGGGAACATAAAATGGTGTGGCTACAAGTGAAGTAAGTCAAGCAGAGAAAGTCAATTAGCATATGGTTTCACTTATTTGTGGAACATAAGGAATAGCATGGAGGACATTAGGAGAAGGAAGGGAAAAATGGGGGGGCGGAATTGGAGGGAGAGATGAACCATGAGAGACTATGGACTCTGAGAAACAAACAGGGTTTTAGAGGGGAGAGGGGACTGGTTAGCCTGGTGATGGGTATTAAGGAGGGCATGTGCTGCATGGAGTACTGGGTGTTATATGAAAACAATGGATCGTGGATCACCACATCAAAAACCAATGATGTATTGTATGATGACTAACATAACATAATAAAATTTAAAAAAAAATCATAAAAAAATTTAAAAAAAAATAAAGAAGTAAAAATTTGGCAAAAAATAAAAAATGGTGCAGCTACTTTGGAAAACAGTAGGGCAGCTCCTCAAAAAGTTAAACAGAGTTATATGACAGCAATTCTACTTCTAGGTATATACCCAAAACAATTGAAAGCAGGGACTTAAACAGATACTTGTAACCCATGTTCACAACAGTGTTAATTCACACCAGTTGAAAGGTGGAAATAGCTCAAATATCCATGAACAGATGAATGAATGAAAAAATGTGATACATACACACACAGACACACACATGCATGCACACACCCATACACCGGAATATTAGTCAGCCTTAAAAAGGGAGAAGGAGAATGTGAGTGGGGACCAGATGATGGGAATGGGGTGAGGAGGAGCACAAGAAGATTTTTAGCTGTAAGTCATGAGGAGGACACATGGGGTACAAAGATTCAGGCCTGGGTCCTTTTTTCTTTCAGTGTGAGGTTCAGATGATAATTAGAATTCTATATATTGACCACTAAAACTGTTGATGTGAAAATGATAACACTGAAACACTTAGCAAGAAAGGAGAAAAATAATACAAATAATTAAGAAAGCAAAACAGTATAGTTTGTGTGGACTATCAGCAGTACAATAATAATTATGCAGATCACTACAATTTGGTCAGATTAACTTGGTTAAAAGTTATGTCTGGGGGTGCCTGGGTGGCTCAGTTGGTTAAACGTCTGCCTTCAGCTCAGGTCATACTCCCAGGGTCCTGGGATCAAGCCTCGAGTCAGGCTCCCTGCTCAGCGGGGAGCCTGCTTCTCCCTCTCCCTCTGTTCCTCCCTCCTGCTCGTGCTCTGTCTCTCAAATAAATAAATAAAATATTTTTTAAAAAGTTATATTTGATTATAACAGCTAGTCCTATTCACAGCTAGAGGTTCTAGTAACAGAGAAACACAGATACAACTTCAATCAGAAATTTATCTTTCACCTCCCATTATAGTGTCAGCTCTTTTGTAGCATGACTACTTTTAACTTAAAAAACTAAAGATAATATTGATGACAGGCTTATATCAAGAGGTTTTAGAAGAGAACTGAATGATTTAAAAGTCACCAGAAATTATAAGCCATATTCTGTGAGTATTCCTTGATAGTACAGAATCAGTGAGCTCTCTAGCTTCCAGAGGAGTCCTTTTATCTCTCAAATTCAATTGAGGGAAAAAAGGCTTCTTTGGAACATATAACTTTGCAAGGGGCCTTTGGGCAATTTTCAGATTACTAAATTGTAAACTTCAGAACTGGGCATACAGAAAAGCTTGTATTTTTTAAAACACACATTTGCATTATATATATAATTTCATCATTTCTTATTTTAGAAGATATTATAAAGCTGTTTGAAACTTTAATTTTCTTTGTGTTGTTGGCTATTCATGTAAATGTTCATCATAACTGGATAACATACCCATTAATTAACAGGAGAACTAAACTACTTTGTACAGAGTCTAACTCTAGGTGTATATACATGTCAGTTTTCTTGCATGCTCAGTTGTGTGTGCATGTGTGTTGTATGCATGTATGTACATACACATATGCTTATCTCTTTTACCAAGGGACAACTTCAGATAAAATATGTATTTCACCATCTCGAGAAAGGAGGGGTTGAATCCTTTGTTGATACAGAAGAACCACTCTATTTTATTTGGTGCTTATTCCAGAACAGTGAAGACGGGCTGAGCGCTGCTACCAGAAATTTAGAAGAACTTACAGTGAAGTACATGGAAGAAATGAAAGAAGTAAGAGCTAATAACATAAAATTCTAAGATACCTGTGGTTTTGTTCATTGTCCTTCATTAAATTGACATGTTAAAAACCAACATTTGAATATTACTGTGTAGTTTGCAAAGCACTTGCACGTACATTTTTTTTCCCCTAAATTGTTCCAACAGTCTGTATTTATTTCTAGTAGAGTACATGTACAGAATGTTACCCAGAGATGACTGGTTGGACATCCAAATAGGTCCGCTCAAGGTGGCTTTCATTATCTTTGTAAATTCATCCATGTTTCAATAACCGACCCTTTAGCTGACTCTTGCTTGTAGCTTGTAGGCTTAGAAACCTGATTAGTCAGTGGATCTGTTTCTCAAAGGTGATCTTATATTAACTACACTCACAGAGAAGTTTGTAGAAAAATAGATACCAGCTTACTAGTTGACAGAAAGAAATATAATTGCCACAAGAACCAGACATGCATGTCCTGTGACTGATGGATTCTTTCTCTACATGTGCACTGCATTACAGATGTTTACTTGCTGAACAAATGATTCTAATTTTTATAGCACTGGCTAAGATAGCCTGATTTCCACAATAGAGCTCTCTATACCTGCCTTTATTTCTGGACCTGTTATAGACTAGAACCAAGCAGGGTACCTAGCCCTTAGAGGAGTCAATAATGGCATCTTTTGACTTTCTTATCACTCTTTTGATGTTTCCAATACTGATCAACCTACTTTTCAACATATTTTTTCTTTAAATGAGTTAAGAAATTCTCTCAGGTTGATTGGAAATCATTCTACTGTGTTTCAACATCTCAGCTCAGATAGGCAACTCATTGATTTTTAAATTTAACTCTTAGAGGAGTTTTTGATTTGATTTCCAAACTCTTAAAGAAGAATGCAGCTTCTTTAGAACAAAAGCAGGACAGCATAATAGACATGAACTTTAACATTAGGCACATGGGGGTGAAAAATTGCCTTTAGTACTGTCTTTCTGTGTAACCTTGGGGAAGTTAGTTAACATCTTTGAACTTGAAATTCCTCATCTGTAAGATGGGGGTGATAATAGCCTCTTCAAAGAGATGTGTGGGGTTTACACAGGTTAAGGTCCATAAAACATTTCACAGACATGTATTTGACACCTAGCAAGTATTCAATAAATTATAGTTATTATTAGAGATAGGTGTTATTCTTCCTGCCATTTTGAAGAGAAAGAAATTGAAGATTAGCAGGAAGTTATAAAGTTGGGTGGCAGTGCCGAGTTACGTCTGCTGTACCATTCAGGTCTTTGTTCGTTTTATGAGGAGTTGTGCAATAGGTCTCAACACAATTCAGCAAAATGCAGTACTTTGGTAGTCTACTTCTAAGCAATTTGGCACAGTAGGTAAGAGCTTAGCTTCTGGGTTTGGGCCTGCTGAGTGTGAAGTCTAGCTCCTCCCCTTATTTCCTGCATGACAGTGCAAATCCCTTGGCCTCTAACGGCCTGCTTTTTCCCATATAAAGTGGGAGGATAATAAGTCTCAGAGGATTGCGGTGAAAATGAAGTATTTGATGTCCTTAATATAGTGCCGGGAGCATCGAGCTAGCTTTTAATCTATTATTATGCACCACATAAAAGTACCTTTTATGAAGCTGCCATATTAACCAAAAGCTATTTTTAAAAAATACTCAGTATTTTAATACAATCTTCTGTTAACATTTCAGACATTTTAATCATCATTGTTAGTACAGGAGTATAAATTTTTGTGGAGATTTTTCTCTGTTCATGGGTATCATGCTATATTTCCTAAATCATAGATAAGGAGACTTGATTTGAAACCTGGTAAGTTAATGGAAAAAGGAATTAGAGATTGTGACTGTCCCAGAAATTTGTGGTGATGTGTCATCATATCTGTGGGAAACAGTGTCTGATAACATGAAGCAGCTGGAAGGAAGTTTAGGGAGGGAGACCCATACTTAACGAAAGCCAGGTTTTCTGTTTCTTAGATTATAGACACGATAGTATGGTGATCTCTCAATGACTCTTTCACTTCATAGATTTGATATGGGTTACTATATGAACCATGGACTAAGAGTAAGAAAATGTATTATTTTCTTTTTAGGTGGAAAAGTATGCAAACCATGTCCATAACTTAACAGAGGAAAAAGAAGCATTTTCTCACGGTCGTGAAAAGGAAAACAAACAGCATAGACATGTGGTTAAAGAGCTCCAACCCAAACAGGGTAATTTTTCCTTTTGTAACAATGTGAAGTTTACTTTTTTTCCTACTTCTAAAAATAATATGTGACAATTACAGAAATCTGGGAAATGTATAAAAGTAGAAAGAAGGGGAAAAATATAATCCTCCACTCCAAGAAAAGTACTTACAATGTTTTGAGTGTATTTTCTGTCTGGTCTTTTTAAATTATCTATTCTGAAATAGTCGGAAATGTGTGTGAGAGAGTACAGGATGGTTATTTCCTTCAATGTCTATTCTAGCGCTTACCACACTGTGTCAGAGTGACCTGTGTCAGCTCCTTTGGGGCAGAGATCGTGCCCTGGTCTTAGTGGTTTCTGTGTTTCCCACAGCACCTGCCTTGTAAAGGACCTAGCATATTAAGGACTCAGGAAATATTTATTAAGTACTACAAAGCTACAAGAGAAGACATGGATAGGACCCCTTTAGAATATTCTATTTTGTTTAACCTCACAAATTAGATAATATTATTACATAGGGACAGTGATTATTTATATTTACCACAGTTATTATTTTCTTTGCTCAGCATTTTCCCTGGCACCTCAGATATTCCATTTGAAATCATGGTTTTTTGTTTTGTTTTGTTTTGTTTTTCATTTTAGAACTTCTCACTCCAATTCTGGAGTGAGGGGCAGGAGAAGTGAAGGGTTGGTTTACAGGCTGGAGTTCTGTCAACCAAGTATAATGGAAGGAAAGAGGAGCAAGGGAGTTGTGAATGTTTTCAAGGGGGGTGATTATAATGATGAATTGCTTAGATGAATCTAAGCTAGGTAAGAAAGTAAATGAGGGGCACCTGGTGGCTCAGTCGTTAAGCGTCTGCCTTCGGCTCAGGTCATGATCCCGGGGTCCTGGGATCGAGCCCCGCATCGGGCTC